CAGCTAAAAGCTTAGTAGCATTTCCTTAACATTGTGTTGTTTTTATTTATGTATCTTCGGTGTTTATGTACTTCAGTGATCATTTTTCTATTTACATAAAGGACATGAGCCACATGCTGGCCTCATTTTGCTAATGATGCATTCAATATAAATAATCCAGTGTTTCCCAGTTCTTTCCCATTTGTTATGTTTTCACCAAACAAATAACATCTCTAAAGCCTGATCAGTTTGCATTGTTGAACTGACTAAATGTCAATGTAAACAAATCACAGATGCATTTCCCTTCTGAAAATATCTCACCTTCTTTTTTTAGATCAGACTGAATTTTGAGAAAAGTAAATCCACATAGGGAGCAGGAGAGTCTGTGTTGAACTCTGATGTTTCTAGTAGCCCAGAAGGGACAAATAAAACACTGGCTCTAGAGAAAGGATGTTCCTCGTGACTCATGTTTAAACCTAGACCAGATGAAGTGTCTATAAGTAAAAAAAAACACTGCGAAAATATTCAATTATTCAGCCAAACTTCATCTTTATGGTTACATATGAGCCATGTTTTTGCATAAGAGCTATTTTAAAATCTTTAAACACATTTTCTACACGCTTCATGAGCCCAGTGTGTGTGTGAACTGTTAGATGAAATGATAGAGGGACTTGCTTATATCATGAATGTGTATCCAAGGGTTAAATTGCACCTATATGTAATAAAATAATAAGTCTGATGAGTTCACATCAGAGCAGAGAGCTGCCACTGCTACAGCTAAGGAAGCAAATGTCAATATATTACTTACATGTATACATTAAGTAGATAATAATACATTTAACCTACTATTTCTGGGGCTGACAAGCAAGGTAGAAATGTTTATTCACTAGTCTTGTCCAAAAAAAAAATAACTTTAGAGAGGGCTTTTCACGGGGCTACAGTATACCTTACCGTATCACAGAGAAGATTCAGTTCTGTTTAGTTGACCTCTTTTTAATCGCCCAAGCTATTCATTTCCTCTTTTTTATTTCACAGCGGTACACAGCAGGGTTTAACTCTTTGTGAAAGATGTCCTCTGTAGGTGTCACAGAACACACCATAAAAGACGAACATCCATAACCTCCCATAATCTGAACTTCACGGCTCTGCTCCAATGAAATGTCAATCAGCTCTTATTCTTCACAAAAACAGACTTAAAGAAACTCAGCCAATGAGAGGCGGCGGGGAGGAAGTCGACTTCTTTTCATTGGTACTGCCTGCTCGGGTTTGCATGGCGACACCTTGGACTGTGTCTCGACTCGACTGCAGCACCAATGAGAGATGCTCAGCTCGTGGGTGCGCAAAGCTGATTATGGAATGATGTGCATCTAACTTTAAAGGGGCAAAACGGTCACGAACTGCAAGAAAAATGTATGAACTCATTATCTTCTATTCTTACTCCTGCCTTGACCAAAACACACGGAATATATCTTCCATATCACATCTATCGACCGGTTTTAAGGTCAAATTCATTAATCTGGCACTGAGGCTTTTCTGATTTACCGACACGTGCGGCACGAAAAAATTCACAACCCCCTTCTCCAGTATTAGTGATTGCCTACAATGTAAAAAAAATCACGTGTCAGAGTGTGTGAGCGAAAAGGAAACATTCATTTAAGTGTAGGCCAACATGCATGCATGATAAAAAACTTCTAACTAAAAGATTGCAACCCTCAATTTGCACACACACTCACATGTGCAGGAGTGCAGAAACACCAGCATGAAAGTATTATGTGTGTGTATTATGTGTGTGTGTGTGTGTATATGTGTGTGTGTGTGTGTGTGTGATTGTGTGTGTCTCCCTCTGCCATACATTCCCGGCACATGGCAACAGAAGCTAAATATAGCCCCAGCAGCCCGGCCTCACAGCAGGATAATGCTTCCCCTCGCTAACATAGAATCCCTCCCTGCCGCTGCCCCTGTTTCCCTGCTTCCTACAAACATCTCGTGCACCTCTCCCTCCTTCCCTGTCTCTCCTGACTCCCCCAACCCCCTTTTTGCCACTTTCCCTTCCTCTGTCATTCTCCCCCTCTGTAGATTCTCGTTCTGTTACCATGCACCTTTCCCCCCCTCAGTATATTAGCTACAGCTCTTCTGCAACCTGTTAGTATTTGAAACTTTAGTTTGACCCCCCCTCTGCATATGCATATGCATATGCATACGCACGCACACACACACACACACACACACACACACACACACACACACACACACACACACACACACACACACACACACACACACACACACACACACACACACACATTCTATGCTATTATATACAGCTCCAAAGGGGAGTACCATTTACAAACAATAGTAACATACTGCTTGGACTTCAATAGGATACATTAGTTATAACCTAATGATATGTTTTCCAGCTTTAAGTACTTTTAATCTTGATACTTTAAGATTTTCAATGCAGGACTTGCAATGGAGTATTTTTACATTTCCTTTTATTCTTCAACTTACATTTCAGAGGTAAATAATGCTGTTTTTAACAACCACCTTAAAAGCAGAAAAATCCCATGCCACCCAATGAGATTTAATTTAGCACATAATATATAATAATAATAATAATAATAATAAATGTATATATATATATATATATATATATATATATNCTTTTTTCTCAAAGTAATGATAAACCTGTGAGTCGGATGTAGAAAACTCAGAATCAATATAGATGTTTTTTATTTTAAAGAAAATCCAGATTGAACATAGTAAAAAAATGTAAATTATAGTGTCCGTCCAAAAACTATTTTTTACTTATAGTGAAAACCACCCTTGGATGATGGGTTAGTAGACTAAAAGCTTTAGGAATCCAGAGTAAAACATATTATAAGTACCCTGTATCAAGATTGATGCAAAACAAGTGACATTTGACCTTTTTAGAGAGGTTTAACATTTGGGTGGAAATGGGCGTATTTGCCGTTTCTCTGGAACCCATTGGTCGATTTTGATGATTGACACTCTTTTGAACCGTTAGAGCCAATAGAATCGAAGGGGAATTTCCACATACACACACACGTTAATTGAGAAATGAGAGCTATGCGCACGCAGTTTGCCCAAATCTTACGCTCTGAAATCTGAAAACTTAAAACTAGGTTTATTGCTGATGGATTATCAGAAATCATTACAAAGTGACAGACACATTGGATTAACCTATGGATGAACCTTCAGCAGCGTTTTTATTGTTTTAATGCCATTGAAGACAACTTTTGATCAGAATAACAGCTAAGGTAAGAAATGTGCTGTGTTTGCTACCTAATGCAACGTGTTTTGATGTCTGTTTTTGTTTCTCATATCATCAGTTAGCTGAGTTTCTTCCCGTTACAAGGATATGAAACATTCATAGTTTATTCAATCTTAAGAAGCCCTCAGACACTGTTGCTTGCAAGTGTTGTGGTTTCGGCCCCTTTGAGTCCGTGGGGCTCAACAGGTTTTAAAACAGTTACTAAATCAGCCTACTATCACCTTAAGAATATATCTAGGATTAAAAGACTAATGTCACAGCAGGATGTGGAAAAACTTGTCCATGCTTTTATCTTCAGTAGACTGGACTACTGTAATAGTGTCTTTACAGGTCTCACTAAAAAATCTATTAGAAAGCTGCAGCTAATTCAGAACACTGCTGCTCGAGTCCTTACCAACACTAAGAAAGTGGATCACATCACTCCTGTTCTGAAGTCTTTACATTGGCTTCCTGTGTGTCAAATAATTGATTTCAAAATACTGCTGCTGGTTTATAAAGCTTTGAATGGTTTAGGCCCAAAATACAATTCTGACCTACTGCTAAATTATGAACCATCCAGATCTCTCAGGTCTTCAGGGACTGGTCAGCTTTCTGTCCCCAGAGTCAGAACTAAACATGGAGAAGCAGCGTTCAGTTATTATGCTCCAAATATCTGGAACAAACTCCCAGAAACATGCAGGTCCGCTGCAACTCTGACTACTTTTATATACAGGCTGAAGACTTTTCTTTTTGCAACTGCTTTTAATTGATATATTCATATCTTAAACGGCACTGTAACTTTTATTATCTTTGCTTTTTATCTTTGCTTTTAAATGAGTGTTTTTAAATGTCATTTTATATCATTGCTTTTAAATAAGTGTTTCTAGATATCATTTTATAATATGTTTCTTAAGGCTCTTAATGTCTTTAATTTTTGTAAAGCACTTTGAATTGCCTTGTGTTGAAAGGTGCTATATAAATAAACTTGCCTTGCCTTATTAACTCAACTGACTTACAAACTGTTTGTCACTGATTAGATGGTTGGTTTTCTTCATGATTTGGAGCTGATTTATTTATTTTTAGCTCATGATCAGGAATTGTATATAATAGTCTTTAAGTCGTGCTCAAATCCCATACGAAACACAAAGATATTGATCAATTTCCTCTTCAGTGTAATTGGTTTATGCCAAAATTACCTCCAGTTTTCTTTTTCTTCTTCTTTTAGATACAGCATAAAATGGGACAACCAAAAACCTAATGCCACAAAACACTTAGGAATATAAATGAGTCTTGCTTTCACCGAACAAACAAACCAATCTGTTGCCGAGAAGTCCCCAAACTTTATGGAAGTGTGATACTCAAAGGCGTACCATGAACTTAAGAAAAAACAATAGAACAGCAAGTGACAAGGGAAGTACAGCTCCTCGTAAACTATATTTACAGCAGAATAGGTCAACAGCTGCAGAAAACTCATCTGTCACCTGATGTGGGTGACAAGCAGCAGCATGACACCACGAAACAAGACGACATGCATTTGAAGGGAAACAACGAAGAAGCCAAACATCTTCAATCAACCACTGACAAATATAAATACTTAAATTACGTTAAATACAAAATAAAAAAATGATATTAGCTTGTTTTTCTTGCAGTTTTAGTACACAATCTAGTTGTTGATGATTAACCTTCAACACTGCTGACTGGCAGACACTCTTTAGACACATGTTGTATTTATGAGACATCAGCTGATTCAGACAGTTTTTAGGTGAACACTCTTTTTTTCTTCGTAGAAATCCTTACATAATTGTCCCTATAGATGTCTCAATGCATGAAATAGTGCTGATCACAGACCGGGTTCATGCACAAGTCATTGGACTCAGTACTTACGATCAGGTCGGTGAAGTAGTCCTGTTCATAACTGTCTGCATGCTTTTCCTCTTTGCCGTTGACTGACAGTGTGTAGTTGTAGTACTGCGAGTTCCCCACCTGTAAACATATAGCAATGCATGTGACAACAGAAGTACTCCGACGTGTGTGTGTGTGTGTGTGTGTGTGTGTGTGTGTGTGTGTGTGTGTGTGTGTGTGTGTGTGTGTGTGTGTGTGTGTGTGTGTGTGTGTGTGTGTGTGTGTGTGTGTGTGTGTGTGTGTGTGTGTGTGTGTGTGATACTCACCAATGCATGCCACTGGTCCCAGCCCAGTGGAACATGACCAACCTCTCCTTCATCTTTTTTACCATACTGATGGCAGAAAAGAAAAACAGTTAAATAAGCCACATTAGAAAGTGTGTAACAAGAGTTCAAAGCAACACTTTGGTAGAGCATGATTTGCGGCAAATGTTATTATCGTCATCGTCCAGCATAATTATGTCCAAAAGTCATGATCTTTGTTTTGTTTAAGGCATGCGTTTTCTATCTTTTTTTCTTTTAAAATAAAAATGTCTAGACACACTCATGAACAAGTTCAGATTTGAAAGGTAAGAAAAGTTGTATTATACTGACTTTTTCTAAGGAATTGTATATTCTTTGTCTATGGATTACCCTGTCCACTCCAGACTGAATTATATCAACCATTATGGGATTGCTAGCTATGAAATGTTTTACCGACACTCATGTCCCCCTGAGGAAGAATTGTAATGAATTGGAGAACCATTCATTTGTATTTTTGAGCCACCATATGGTTCACTTTTCTGTTTTTGTATGGAATTTGTCCAATACTTTTAATGTTCAACATTAAACATGCTAAACATCTGCTTGGTAGCATTATTCCTATGGCTTTAGTCTGTGTAATTTGGTTAAAATTATCTTTTAAAATGGGAAACATTTAAATAACATGTTTATAACTTTTGAATATATTTGGGTCAAGTTTAAATAATTTTCAAGCAGTCAAGCTTTCTCACAGCTTCTTCTTGAATCATAAAACCACCATATATACTAAACACAGAACAGCTTATCAAGTTTACACGTGGTCAAACCTGGTTGAGATATTTCCCAGCGAAGAACGTCTGGTACTTCTGCTTGTTGAGGTAGACTGGGAAGGCCGTGGACTCGGGGCCTTTCTGCCACTGAATGCTGGAGCAGTTCCCTGATAGTGAGTTGTTCCTCACCCCGTGGTTGTGGGGGTACTGACCGGTCAGAATGCTGCTCCTGCTGGGACAGCACAGCGGCGTGACGGTGAACTTCAGCGGAGAAGAAGGAAGCGAGAGCGGTGACGGAGGAAGAAGAAGGAGAAGAAGGGGAAACAGAGGGGAGGGGAAAGGTGACAACAGAGAAGCATGACCGGGGAGAGAAGGATGTGTTCAGTTTCCACATTGTAAAACATGTGAAATCAAAGGGGACTGAAAAAAGGATGTAGGCCCTTTAGTACAAAATGTACTCCAAGTGTGTATCGAAGAAAAAGTACTAAAATATAATATAATATAAAATATATCCTGTGATATTTGACTGATATTAGAAAGAAATTGTGATGCATTAATGTTAGAGCAGTATTTTAGTATTTCAGCTACTCAAGTTGGAGTTAGTTTTAGTCTCTGCCAACAGTTAGCTAGCTTACATAGGGGTCGTGGACCTGCAAAGGTTCAGCAGATTAACTTGAGGGGTCATAATATTTTTATAAAGGACAATAAACTAATTTTTTTTCAGATTTATGAGTTTTATGTAATATATGCTTCTTTGTGAAATATTGGATACTTGTGCACTAAAGTATACTTTAGTGCAGTTCTTAAATACTTAAAGTAAATGAATGGATACAGTACTGCAGTAAATGCATTCATTTACTTTCCACCACTGGGTAAATGTAGAAGACGTACTCACAGCATTCACAAATGTTGCTCCTGCTTCTCCTATTAAGGCTTTAGTTTTCTTCATGGGGGTCTGCAAAACGGAAACAAATCAGATTCAGAATTAGACAAGTGACATGACTCCTACCATTTCATAAGAGCATACATTTGATCTAAAAGTAATACCAAAAGTTGGTGATCATTCTAATCGAGAAAAATGCCAATCACAGTTTCCCAGAACACAAAATGAAAGGCGGCAAAATCCTCACAACTTAGCAGCTGGAATCAGAAAAGGTATTGTCATTTATGCTTGAAAAAGCGACCCAAATCATAATTTAGCGATCGCTTCAGCCCTAATAGGCATGATCTATACATTTTCAGCCATCGGAAAACTAAATGCAGTGTTTCCTGTGCATTCTCGCCAACGCTTTCAATGAAAGTAGCTAGCACTTGGAAAGTCCCTAAAAAGGCATAATATCATCATCAACATTATTAATTAGCCAAAAGCTAAGTGGTTGTGTCCGTTAATTGAAAACGATGCAAGAGAAGAGACCACAGGGAGTTGGTAGAAGAACTGTGAACTGTGGTTCTGTGGGCTCTAAGAAAAGGGATTAGGTTTTTGCACCTCTAGAAACGCTAGAGGTGGGAGGAGTTGAAAAGTGATCTATTGCCACTTTAAGAAGAGTAGCACAGAGCAGCTAGCATTGCTCTGGACTCTTAGTCTACTCACTGCGCAACAGTGTGGGGGTGGCAGTGTTTCACCTTGTGAGTCTGCATGTTTTTCATCATGACCATCATGCTCCTCCGAAATCAACTGCTACCACAGAAGCAGTTTTGAGTACTTTAAGAGGTGTTTATATTCTGTCTGTCTGTTCATGGAATGACTATGTCACAGAGTTAGTGTCAAAATCTTGCAAGATGCACTCATCAAACTCTACAGATGTCAAGTTGAGATTAAAATGAAGGCCAAGTTTGAAGATGGGAGTTTTTCGTACAAGGGCGCCACAAATAAAGGGGGGGAAGGGGGGTAGAGGGGACTCCCCCCCCTCTCCTTTACAACCCTGGCCCCATTTTGGCATTGCTGCAGACCATCACAACATGGTCTCTAGTTACCTTTTAGTTTAAAACGCACTTGTACCTGTATCTGCAAGTTTTTAGCTCTAGTCCCTGCTCTATTTGGGGTGCTTATATTCCTCGTGTGTATCCAACAAGTTGTGTACTACCTTGCAATTGTTATCATTAATCGTATGTCTCTTAACTATGTTAATAATGGAATTTCAGGAGTCAAAAGAGCTTCCTGCATTACAGCTGACAGCACAGCAGATAAGAGGGCAGTAGACTTTCATAACCAAGCTTCAAAGGACTGTATCTGAATTATACGAACAATTAGGCGATACAAACACCATAAAGCATGATAAGATGAGTCAAAATTCAATGCTAGCTTACTATAAACTCACGTGGTGTGAATTTATCGGTAGGAGCTTGCATCAGAAGTTACTATAACGTTTCTTTATGATCAAGTTATGAAAACATGTGATTTTTTTAAGCGGGTCAACTCACCATCCCCCCCAGATGAACATCTTGATCGTCAGCGAGGATGAGGATGATGTTGCTCGGTTTGTCGGTCTGTGCAGAGCACCTGACGCAGCAGGTGAGCAGCACCGTGAGGAGGGTGGCCAATGCAGGGAGTCCTTTCCGCCGGGGTCCTGTCGCTCCTGGTCCGCTCCTCAAAGCTGCCATTAGGCCACAGCAGCACCGGGCCTTGGCTACACACACTCACACACGCCGGTGTTGAGCTGGAGCTCGGTTTCGTTTCCTAGTCAGGGGGAGGGGGAGGGTGTGTGTGTTGTTGGCTGAGTGTGTGCAGGCTGGCAGTTTGAGGAAGTGGAGTCGAGTTCTTGGTGGTCATATGATCACACTTAGAAGGGGAGGAGTAAAGACCGAGAACACATTGTACAGCATGGAATTTATACTACTTATAAACTACAAACTTCCTTATTAACTTTTGCTTTTTACTAACTGAGGCATGCTTTATTACTATCGGCACAATAATCCCATTTAATGACATACACAGATGTTTGTTGTATTTATTATTAATTATTATTTTTAATATCAAACATTGTATCATTTTAAAATCAAGTTAAAAATATATTTTTTTAAAACGTTGTTAAACATAATAATATTATATTGCATAATATGATATTGTATTAAATCTGATATAGAAAACATATTTATTAAAATATTTCCAAATGTATTAAATTCAACTTTATTAAACTTAATTAAGTGAGCTCTTAATACAAATATACTAACTAATTCATTTTTATAGTATTACATTTTATTATATAAATATGTAATGTAGCATCTAAATGCACAATATAATAATATTGTGTATGCAATATTATATGTTGCTATGAAATGTTTTTTATTTTACTTTGCATTTCAGTTTGAAAATGATGTAATGGTGACTGCACATAAATAACTTCAAAGATATATAATATAATCTGTCTAATATCAATATTCAAGCCTATATAACAATCTGACACTTATATTTTATAGTCTATTGCTTTAGTTTTATTTTCAAGAAAATAAAACCTTATTTTACACAAAACAGGATCTGAAACCAATTCAACAATAGATCTCCATGTGATTCCTCTTAACTTACCCCCTTGAAACCACCTGAGAGTTATTATACAGTTGCAAAAAAAGTATGTGAACCCTTTGGAATTACCTGGATTTCTGCATAAGTTGGTCATAAAATGGAGGAAGCCACTGCTGTCCAGAAAAAACATTGCTGCACGTTTGAAGTTTGCAAAAGAGCACCTGGATGTTCCACAGCACTACTGGCAAAATATTATGTGGACAGATGAAACCAAAGTTGAGTTGTTTGGAAGGAACACACAACGCTATGTGTGGAGAAAAAAAGGCACAGCACACCAACATCAAAACCTCATCCCAACTGTGAAGTATGGTGGAGGGAGCATCATGGTTTGGTGCTGCCTCAGGGCCTGGACAGATTGCCATCATCGACGGAAAAATGAATTCTCAAGTTTATCAAGACATTTTGCTGGAGAACTTAAGGCCATCTGTCCACCAATTGAAGCTCAACAGAAGATGGGTGATGCAACAGGACAACGACCCAAAGCACAGAAGTAAATCAACAACAGAATGGCTTCAACAGAAGAAAATACGCCTTCTGGAGTGGCCCAGTCAGAGTCCTGACCTCAACCCAATTGAGATGCTGTGGCGTGACCTCAAGAGAGCGATTCACACCAGACATCCCAAGAATATTGCTGAACTGAAACAGTTTTGTAAAGAGGAATGGTCCGGGATTCCTCCTGACCGTTGTGCAGGTCTGATATGCAACTATAGGAAACGTTTGGTTGAGGTTATTGCTGCCAAAGGAGGGTCAACCAGTTATTACATCCAAGGGTTCACATACTTTTTCCACCCTGCACTGTGAATGTTTACATGGTGTGTTCAATAAAAACATAAAAACATATAATTGTTTGTGTGGTTTTAGCGTAAGCAGACTGTGTTTGTCTATTGTTGTAACACATTTTATGACCAATTTATGCAGAAATCCAGGTAGTTCCAAAGGGTTCACATACTTTTTCTTGCAACTGTAGATCAAACTGTTTATTTCAGGGTTTCACATAATTATGTTCTTTTATTTTAAGAGTTTTAAAACAGAAACTCTGTATACTATGTTTGTAGTCTGAAGATATTTAATTTGCATTGAATAGACTATGCAAATCCAATGTAGACACGGCATGCAGAAGAAGTTATAATATTCCATTGACTCCTGGTTCGAGAACACTGGGTGCTTAAACATTCATACAACCCATTATTTGTGTGGAGCACACATGTTCTTTTTAGGTCATTATCTCCCACAAAAAAATACATATGCTGATCATAAGTATAAGCCTCGACATATGTTATCATCCAAATCTGTGAGCACTTCCCTTTACTGATATTGAGGGGGAGCTGTTAGTGGTAAACGACACTTAGATCTAAAGCCATGCATAGCAGCCTTTGAGGCTGTACAGTAATGCTTTGAAAGTGAGAATAAATTAAGTGTACATCATGTTTTGAACAATCTTTTTTCCTGCAGCTGTTGATGGCACTGTGAAGTGAAGGCAGGTAGCAGTCAGTCAGTAGGCCGACTGTCAACCTGGAGCTTTTCAAACAATGAACTATGCAAACAGCTGAAAGTGCTTTCTGCTGTTATTACTAGTGACTGGGATTAAAAATGAAGAACCAGCTCTATTTACCAACTTTCAGCCAAATTAAAGGATGGAAAATACTATTTATAGTACACATTTTAGGTACTCATACTACTTCAGTATCCTATTTCCATCAGAGGCAAACAATGTATTTTTTAAATCACTTAATTTATTGGGTTAAACAGAATAGAATAGGATTCATTCGTTACAATTTTACAAAATATATTTCCAATTTTATAAATTCACTTATTTAATATTGTGGTGTTAGTGTTCATGTTATAGGTACACAACATAGGAAATTAAGCAGCAATCCTGCATTATACACCAAACAGTAATACAAAAAAGGAGACACATGTTACCCATGTTACTTACCGTGAGTATTTATGTTTATTTTAATAATATTCATTTTAATAACTTAAAGCTGTCTTCCATACTGGGCCGTTTCAGTGTTCAGCGCAGTTTCCACTCGGAACTATTTTGATAGTGCGCATGTGCAGCAGATGCATCAACACAGCTGCATCCGGTTGCACTGCTGCACAGAATTTAGCTGCTATTTCTTTTTTCTGCGGCTTTCTTTCACTCTAACCGACCCTAGAGAATGTACCCATTTACGTTAGACGCCTTAACGTCTTATTTAACCATAAAGTGAAACATGGTGCCGTTGAAGAGAAGGAAAGTCTCCTCAGGTGCTGGGAAAACTGGGGATACTTGGAGTGGAGTACCTGCCAAATTCCCTCAGGTGCTTTTATTCCTGTTGGAAAGGAAAATGGGAGCCAGTCGAAGAGCATTTCTCTCTCAGCTCGGTCAAAAGAAAGGATTTCAGGTGGAGGAGTTGTTCAGGTAAGATAAAATAAATAAAGTGTATAGTACGATTGAGAAAAACAGTGGAGAACAGTAACTAAGTAAATGTTGTCTTTAATAGCTGTGAGAATAAAATTTAAGTTCTTCACTTGACTTGACTATTTACATTTTGAGGCTTATTTCTACTTCTAGTTGACAGCTTACACTTTTATACCAAATCAAGATTTGTATTGATTTCTTACAGCTTATATTTGAGAAGTGTTACTGATTAATCAATTTGATTGATTAAGTTGATTGACAGAAAATAAAGTTTCAACTATTGAGATTGCCTTTATTCAACTTGTTCAGCTTTACAAGAAGATTTTGTAAAGGATTTTGTATTACTTTTTTAGTTTTTCATAATCCATTTATGAATCCAGGGGTGATTTGTCTGCATTTAGTGCTTTTACTTTTAAGTCAGCTTACACACTCTCATACATTGATGATAAGCGACCATGAATTGTTCAAAAGCTTGTACGTAAACGTGTATTTTAATCTACATTCCCCGGACTTTCTAAAAAGTCATTATAATCATTTATTGAATTGAGTGATTGAGTGCTGCCATGCTCTCACCTTTGGGTACAGTAGTGTCTTTGAATCACATGTTGAATATTGTGTATTCACAGTGAGAGCGTCACACATGTGATTTCTGAGAATAACTCTGGAGATGAGGTCAGGATGTGGCTAGGCTCACAGATTGGAGGTCAGTGCAGGACACCAGCTCTCCTTCTGGACATCAGCTGGTACACAGAGAGCATGAAGGAGGGACATCCTGTTGAAATCCTGGACAGACATAAACTACAGGTGCCTTTTTCTTTACTCACCTCCAGATATTTACTATCAGATGTCAGTCAAGAATTTCACTAAAATATTCCTGTGGCGCATGGCTTCCCAAACATTTTCAGCTCATAAAAGATGGCGTAACAAACCATACATTTAAAATGTATAAAATACAATTGCATTTTCTATCCTACCCATATTAATTTAAGTATTTGTCATGAATTGAAGTAAAAGTAAAGATAAGGTAAGAGGTACTTTATTGATCCCAAATTGGGAAATTTTTATTTTGCAGCAGCATAAAAAACAACAAAAACAAAGCGAGGCATTGCACATAGTAGAAATTAAAAAGTAGAAATAAACAATACTAGAATTTAGATTTTTTTATAAGAGTTCTCGGATGAATCCAGCTCTTGGTTTTTGGTTGTATTTGTGAAGCTGTTGAATCCCTCTGTCTTTAACAGGAGCAACAGGTTGATGAATCGAAGGAGGTGGAGAGTATCGTACCGAGCTACGCCTGTCAGAGAAGGACCACTCTGGAGAACCACAACACCGTCTTCACTGTAATGTCCCCCAGCCAACACTTACTGTATATTACAGCTGTTGTTAGCTAAATGAAAACAGAAAACTGAGAGATTGAGGATGTGTTTTCTGTCTCAGGATGCGCTGTCTCTCCTGGCTGAAAGCGCTGAGCTCAGTGACGAGGACGGACGAGGCGTTGCGTTCCGACGAGCCGCCGCCGTGCTGAAGGCTCTCCACAGCCCGGTGACAGACCTGCTGCAGCTCAGAGGGCTGCCCTGTCTCGGAGGACATTCACTCAGAGTCATCAAAGTCAGTGGAAAGATATCCCTTTAATATCTCCCTAATCACACTTAAACAAATATCTATTATTCATCTGTTTTTATTCTCTTTTCTTGCAGGACGTTTTGGAAAATGGAGCATCCAGTGAAGTGGAGTGTACAAAGCAGTCGGAGCGGTTTAAGGCACTGAAGGTATGTCAGCTGTTTGTCCCGTAAACCTTGTGCAGTTTTGTAGTTTATATGATTTTTTGGGTCGATATAACAAATTAAAGGGTCTCCAGATTATTAAAGAAAGAAAAGTTTGAGGAAAGATTTCTCTTAAATTGTTAGCTTTTTCTTGTGAAATATGTCATAACTTGACCTCTTAAGGCTCTAAAAAGCCTTCAAATTAAACAATACATTTTCACTTGAATGGCTCACAGGTCTTGCCTCTGAGAAGAAGCAACACAAATAAGAAAATGCTAGTATATTTTATTCTATTATTCTTTAATTCACTATTCTTCAAAATGTGTGACAGCTTACATTAAGATGTCTTCTTAAACAGTTCCTTGTGCTACAGTAGCTAGTTTTACTTGCTATTAACATTATTTATTACACTCTCTTGGGAAAAATAGATTAATAAACAACACATAGGGAACTTATTTTCTAATATTTGTACCATTTCCCAAAACTCAGTGACATTTCCAAATAAATATCTGAGTGATCCACATCCAATGATTCACACTCTCCAACATGGATCTCATTTCCTCTCCAGCACCACCTAGTGGCTCTACACTGGATCAGTCTGGTTTTATTATCCTCTTTTTAGTCATGTTTTATAGATATAATCTTAACTCAATCTCAGTATAACTTTTCTTTAATACATTAGCCAAAAGTGAAAAAGCTGCTGAAATTCTATATTGTTCAAACTGTCAACAAATCCTTTAAAACAACTTACACACACACACACACACACACACACACACACACACACACACACACACACACACACACACACAGACACACACACACACACACTGCAGTTCATGTTGTCAGTTTGCTGAGGTAGCCGTTGTGTAGTTGATATTAAAACAAAATTATACAAAAAAGGGAAATTATTTGGTCTTTAAAAAAGTCATCCATGTTGTTGTTTTAATGGGATTTATTCGCAATACTGAGAATATTGAATACTGCCACTCTTATAATTTAACAAACTGTTAAAGTGATCAATAACCTATTAAGGTTACCAATGATTCTGATGTTATGTTGCTTAATGACATTTTTTAATAGTATTTGTTACTCGCTCAAATCCTGATTTGTATTCCACAGTTTCATTTTTATATCATGATGTGTTTCAGGTGTTAACGGGTATTTTTGGGGTTGGATCAAAAACAGCCGAGAGATGGATCAGAGAGGGGATACACAGCCTTCCTCAGTTACAGGACTCCGCACACACACTCAATAGAGCTCAACAAGCAGGTGTGTGTCCCGATGCCCATGTATTCATTCACATTGTATTTCATCTTGTTTCTCCTCAAAGTAATATACTGTCTTCCCTAAGGTCTGGAGCACTATGATGACCTCAACCAGCCGGTCACTAAGGCAGAGGGTGACGCCATCGGAGAGATTGTGGCTAAAGCTGTCATGTCTGTGTTGCCAGGGGTACAGATTACTCTGATAGGAGGTTTCAGGAGGTAGATATTATCCCATTGTCTTGTTTTTGAGATTTCAGAAGTTCAAATATATTAAATCAAGGAAAAAATAACTACTGACGCTCTCCAGAGGGAAGCTGACAGGCCATGATGTGGACTTCCTGATAACACACCCAGAGGAGGGCAGAGAGGTGGGGCTGATGCCTAAAGTCGTGTCCTGGTTGGAATCAAAGGTAAACCCTGAGTCAGTGCATTTTTTAAGATGACTTTTTGACAACCTGAAGTTATTTTAACCACATTTTCACTGCTCAAATGTTACAAATATAGTTTTCTGTCTCTCCAGGGTTTCTTGTTGTACCAGAAAACTACAAGAAACTCTTACCTGGAGTCAAAGGACGGTCCTGCTCGGCCTTCCTCCAACATGGACCGCTTCGAGAGGTGTTTCTCCATCTTTAAACTGCCTGAGGATGCGAAACAAGGAACAACACAAACAGAGACACTGACAGAAGATACACCTGAGGACACGTGTCGTCTTACAACCCCCTCGTTGGTTAAAGATGAAGGAAGTGAGTCGACAAAACGTGCCAATCTCAAACCATGGAGAGCGGTCAGAGTGGACCTGGTGGTGTCGCCCATCAGCCAGTTTGCTTTTGCTCTGCTGGGCTGGACCGGATCAAAGGTGACTTTTTGATATATTATGCAGGATAAATATTGCAAGTGAAGTCCTTCCACTGAGTCTTTATTCTCTGCAGTTGTTTGAGAGAGAGCTGCGACGCTGGGCGGGGCACGAGAAGGCCATGTCTCTGAGCAGCCACGCTCTGTACGATAACACACAGGTAAACACCTCTAATACACCATTTAACACATTTTATTGGCGTTTTGGGGGGTAAATGAACAGCAATGCATGTTTGTATTTTTACAGAGCAAGTACCTGAGAGCTTCATCAGAGGAGGAGATTTTTGCTCATCTCGGTCTGGAGTACATCCCTCCGTCAGAGAGAAACGCCTGACCGGAGCTGAGGATGTCCTGCAGGAGGAACCAGCAGGTACCATGTGAGGGTCATACCTGCGGAGAGTGGGGGGGTTAATGCAGTATCAGCTGGTGGTTCAGCCCCAAAAGACAGAACTGCCCGGGGCTCTATTGATGCAGTCATGTTGCTTCAGGATCCATGATTATTAGGTAACTAAATCCATGACTGATTCCAAAATAATACCATTTTATAACTATAAGATTTTAGATCTCTGAAAAGCTACCATCAACTATTTTATCCACGGTTACCACAATCGAAGCGTTTGAAAACGCAAGAAGATGGAATATGAAAAATATGATGAAGGAATGCTGAACATTTTCCCTCATAACTTTTTACCGGATTAAAAATGTAACTTTTTTGTTCGTCAACGCGGAATTTTGTGTGCGGAATCCTCAGTGTTGTCCTCCCGCTGCTCCGCTGAACTGGCCTCTAAAAATGCATGAGAGTAGCTGCGTTTTTATGGCCTTTTATTGGCTTTTTTTGCCCTGTTTGCACATTAATATGAACTGAATTCCAGAAATTGAATTTTGAAGCAATATTTGCACTGTAGGGAACCTGTGTTAGTGGACTAGTCAACTCGGCTTAGACTAATACAGTGTAGTACAGCAGTCCTTTAATAAATCACCTACGAAGGCAATGCTTTTCAGTTTGTGTTAAAACGGTTTTAGAGAGATGTTTATTCAACGTTATGATCATTTTGGATGCATTTTGTTTTAGCTGTAGTTCTGGCAAAGGAGTGAAGGCATCCTCAATTAAAATGTTTGAAAATGATATATAATAAATGCTCTGATCTTGCTGCTTGCTGAAGAAGGTATTTGTTATAAGCTGCTGAACTTTACAATCTGTTCTTAATACAAATCCAATGAAAAGACAACAATGTGAACCTCATGGTGGCGCTAGAGGAAAAGTCAGGGGCTGCTTCCTCAATAACATGTTATTTAAATGCATGAGATAGTTTGGTCTGGACCAAATGGGTCGACCAAGTGACTAATATAGGGGAGTTTTTATATAATTTAATTTTCTCAAAAGAACGAAGAAAGGTGCTCCTGTTCCATAAAGACAGATATGGTTAATGCAGTCAAAGTGTGATGGGAATACATCTGCAGCCCAGCTGAAGATAATGTTAAAAAAGAAACAGGATAACAGTTTGACCTGATCAAACACCAACAGAGCTGAACATCGAAACACGCTATCTGTCGTTTGACAAGGAAATACAGATTCCAAGATTTCTTTTCTTTCATATCTGTACAACTCGTGTTCTTCTTATACAGAGTGACAGGATATTTTACCATCCTGTCTTTGTAAAGTGTTCAAGGAACATTTCCCCACAGACACACCTGTGTGCTACTGATCTGTATTCTACAACGTCTGTTCCAAAAGAAAGCCACACAGCAGAGAGACCACAAGTGATCTCCGGGAAAAGAACAGGAAGTCAGTGACAATATATTTTTAAAAAAATGTTATGCTGCTTCATACTGCTACTCAACTTCATATCAGGGGGAATATTATCTTTACTACACAACCTTTTTCTAAAGCTACAGTCACTGGCATCGTTTGAGTTAATATGGAGATTTTACATTAAGAAACCTGCTTTTAAAATACAACATACATATAAAGAATAAGCCAGTGGTTCCCAAACGTTTAGAGTGTGATGATATGTCTATGATTTGTTAACAGAGAGTCAGACAGTCAGAAATCAGCGAGGTGGAGTAACCGTTCAATAAAGGACAAAATGTGAATACAAATGTATCATATCTTCTCTCTTCTCATTAACCAACTTCTGATCCCTCAGATTTAACTGGTGACCCTCTAGGTTGAAAACATTTGAACTAAACTAGCTAACTTGTAGTCAAAGTAGTTAAAACTAGCTGACCAGAGCCGCTACAACTGAGAAATGTTAATCTAAAATGTATTCATCTAACGTCACATAAAACCAGTCACAAGAAGTACTTTACTGCAGAATGAGTACATTTACTGCGGATATTTCAGGGATATTGTTGTGAAAATACTTATATATATATATGTATACCTACGGCGAGTTTAAAGGCAGGACTTTCACTTTTATCCGCATACTTTTAAATAGCAGTATTGTTACTTTAACTTTAATAAAGGATCTGAGTAATTTTTCCACCACTGAGTTCCTTACATTGTTTTCTGTTTTTCTTAACTATAAATAGTACTTAAAATGTTAATAGCATATTAAACGTATATAAAAGAAATCACTTCTAATAAAAAAAGACGTATATGTTTTTTCTAGGAGATCTATTTCAATATTGATCTGAAATGATAAGTCATACATCCTTCCTTCACAGTTGACTTAATTTCCCTTTCCACAACCGGCCTCCCCTCTGTTCTCACAGAAGCCCAGACTGGCAGTCCCCTTCTGCAGGACAATGTCTCTCATGTCTGTCCTTCTCCCTCAGAAACTTTTGGTTCACACATACGGTGTCAAAAACAGAGATGTGTCAATGGTGAGGCAGGAACATTGCAAATAAATCCCTTTTTACCTTCGTACTGCATTTCCAACTACCAGCACACTGTGTTTCACACTGTGTTTACATTTCATACAACCTAATCGTGTTCAAAAAATAAAATAAGATCATGGGAAGAAGTGTGTACCCATGTCAAAGAGAGTGGATGTGAGAGGAGACAGAGGTGTGAGCACTGACACAGCCTTTGATGTTAAACTGGTATTTAGAGGTTAATGAGGCTGTTAGGAAGAGGTGAAGGAAACGCCTGCGAGTTCACACTACCACTCTCTCACACACACACACACACACACACACACACACACACACACACACACACACACACACACACACACACACACACACAGGAATATATCTGCTGTAAATGAAGATCTCTGTCATACAAAACCTGAAGGACAAGACTGTATCAAAGGGATAATTTATTTAAATGTATTTCCCAAATGAAATACATGTCAAAGAACAAAAGTGCAGGGTTATTCAGATCCCTTTCTAAAGTAAAACACGCCAAACCAATTTAACTTTAGAATAATAGTATTATCAGAAAATATACATGAAGCATCAGCAGTTAAAATACACATTCTGCAAAGTAGTAAAATGTCTCACATTCTGTGGCAAATTAAAAGAGTGTTAATACTGATAAAGGGTGACCAGATAAACCTAATGGGTGGTGGGATGATTAAAGGAGAGAAAAAAAGAAACAGAAATCTGTATTATTTCTTTTGTTGGAATATTGGATCATGTTCTCAGTTTGAACCCAGAAACAGTTATTCGAGTGAAATTTGGAGCACATCTTAAATATGACAGCCAAACACACAGACTGTTTGTAAGAGGTCACAAGCCAAACGTTTGGACACCACTGGTGTAATCCTGCATTTATTTGATGTTTTATTTATATACCTTTTATATCTTTGAAAAACACGTAGCTATATCTGTCAAAAACAAAACAGTGGAGTAGAAATATAAAGTATCCTAACAAAAAAGAAGAACAAATAGTTTAAATGTAATTGCGAGGTAGTAATCACTTCACATTTCTTAAAATCAAACAAAACCAAAACAATTTTAAACCAAATTTAATTTTGCTCAAGGGTTTCTGCACAATCTGTGTTTACATCTGTTTCTGTCTGTTGTGCTCAAACACAAGACTTAGTGTGTGCATATTCAACATTTACTTGGATATACATGAACACAACAGGCCAATAAAACGGATAGTAATCCTGACTGTGCGTGTGTGTTTGTTTGTGTGTGTAAATGCTCCTTATCCGTGCAGAGGGGGTCCCGTCCTCCCGGCCCCAGTCCCAGGCTGCTGCTGTCTGTGGGGTAACGGTCTCCTGCTGGGCCCCTCTTTGATTGGCTCCATTCAGACCCTTTCATCTCTAATGGGCCTGTTTGCTGCTCTGTTATGGACACAAACACACCTCGAGCCCCCCGGGGCGCTGAGCAGCAGACCAGGGGGAGACACATGTCCCAACATGGTGGTCACATCTCTGCATACATCAGCTTATATCTCCGTCTTTATCAGTTTCCTATTGAAAGAGTCCCAAATAAATATCAGTTGAACTCTTCTTTATTATAGCAGTTTGAAAGGACAACACCGCTGATGATCTTAATTTTCTCATTTCCGACAAATCCCATAAAAACATCTATGTGTTAGTTTGTCTCTACATTCTAATTTCCTGTCTGAGGCTCCCAGCTCCAAGCCTTTTGGTTCCTACTTAAGACGACGTCAATGTTAAGTGTCTTTTGCAAATGTGTTATCTTAGTATATATTTGTTCGATTCAAATGTACGAACGATTACGCTGCACAAGTAAATCATAAATCCCCTTAAATTCAATCCTAACATTTCTTTAAAACACATGTTTCTTTCATTTAATTTCTTGACTACATGGTCCACAATTTATCATTTTAAATCTATATACTTTACTCTTTGCTCTTTTCCTTTCTTTGAAATAATTAGAAAGCTGTGTGATGAAGTCCCCTTTAACGTAGCTTAAAACAAATAGTAAACGATAATTAACAATAACACTCTTTTCCTTTTTTTGTTTTTAAAATGTAAAACATTTATTTTGACAGGAAGAAGAATACATAAATGATTTACGGCCTTATCCTGTTGCACTTTAGCCCAAATGTGCATAAAAAACCAGAACAAAACCTGAAATTTACAAATAAAATGTGTCTGTTTCTGATGCTGAATGGATTCCTCTATGCAGATGAGGGTGGTGATGACGCCCAATAATCATTGATCTCCATTGCCGGCAGTCTCCAGCAGTTGCCCGCCCTGTCTGTAACACAGTCAGTTAAGGCCTCTTCCCCTGTCCCATTGATCCCTATCACCCTCTTCAAAGGCTCCCAGGGCTTTGATGGGGCCAGTGAGACAGGTCCTGCTGGACGAGCAGGCACAGCGACTCCCCTCTTCAAATGGGACAGTGAGGCTTGTCTTGTTTTGAGATTGTGACATTTAAATGTATCCCTAAAATCCAGGATCTGGTGGCTTCGCTGTGACGGTAATATATATATATATTACCAAATATATCCCAAAACCCCTCAAATGTAAACTAACGTCTGTCTTGAATGGTGGACTTAGTGATTGCAGAGTGACAGATTTGAATAGATTTAAAGGTTTCATTCCTACAATTTGATCTCAAATTAAACCACAACTCCTGTACCTTTTTAGTCATCTCGCCGTCATTAGGGAATCTATTTATTTCCTTGTATACAGTTAACATCAACAACACAACACTCTTTTTATTTTCACGAAACACACATTTACATGAGAAATATTAATGACCATACATACAATAATTGCAAACAATGTTTCAGAATAATCATGAGCTCATACTAAACCAATCAACCAATACAATTACAAATATATTGAAATGACTCCATTTGAAGTCAAAATACAGACGTTTTAACAGCCACATTTAAACTGTTATTCTATATCAACCATGTAGGGAAATGTCTCAACCCTTAGGTTACTCAAGCATCTGTAACAGCAATTCCAAACTAGACCCTAAGTTTCAATTAATTTGTCTTTTGCTGATTTAATTGGCATTTAGCTAAACTTACTGATGTCAAAGGTGACAAAACAAAAACCTCTTGATTGTATTGTAAAATGGTTATCTAAAATAAAGTACTTATTAGTATGAATAAAGAGGGTTAATTAGTTCAACAAAAGGAAAAAGTAGCGAGACAAAGTTATGTTCAAGAACCTCAAACTAATTGGTCACTTTTGGCCATTGACTCTGCAAGAGCCAGAAGAATGTAACCCATTTGCTATCAATAAAGTGCATCTATCTTAGATAGCACTCACAACAAGAGTTGCAGAAAAATGAGCAGCAGGTGATTGGTACAGTTAAAAGTTCAAAGGGGTCCTGATCATTTGTTGTCTCTACGTCACCTCCATCGCTGCCCCTCCGTCTGTCTGTGCTTTAATGGTGTGGATGGGTATCAGTGACCGCTTGCTCTACCTTGTCATCTCCCATCATGCCCTGTGACATGCAGGTCTGCAGGTCTTTGATGTTACAGACAGGCAGACAGATGGAAAAGCAGACAGACAGGCGAGAAGACAGGAGACAACACTGCAACATCCACAGATACCAATATCAATCAATATTAAGTCTGCAGCTTTCATATTTTATAAACTGATCACGTTTAAGAAACACATTCATCGGCAAGGTTAATTTGAACGTGAGGATGTCAAACATTTTTTCCTGTAAAACATCTGCACATTTACTTGAGTGGGATTTCATAATGCAGGACACTTACAGTCACCACTGTTTTTGCCATATTTTTCATAATAATAATAATAATAATAAAGTGACATCATTGAGCAGCTAGAGTCAAATGCTGCTTGCACATTAATGTATCAGTAATATAATGTTGAGTATTAAATCAGTCAAATGGGGAATTTTGACTTGTGTTACTATACAAAGTAAATGTCACTGATACTTTTACTGTAACATTATTTTGAATGCAGGACCTAGTATCGCTACTTTTATTTAAGAAGAGGATCTGAGTAATTCCACATCTTTAAACCCTGTTTAGAACCAAAAATTCAGAAGGAAATTGTAATATTGGATGGGAACATATAATTATCAAAGGATGTAAAACATATTAAATATGAATACTTCCACCAAGTATTTGAGGAAGTATTCAAATTCTTTATTTCGTGAAAAGTACTGAGAATGCTTCTAAACTAAAGTAATGGCTACACAAGTGATATATGATTACTTTAGATTTGTATTACTTATTTAGTTTATTGACGTGTAGTATCATGTTGCTAACATTTGGTAAAAAGTATATAATATAGTATTAACTAATTAATGTTGCTATTAATTCAGTGTATTCTGCATGGAATGACATACTAAGTAGACTGACACCACTTTAATACCAGAGTCAGTGTATCAGTTCTGATCATCTTCTGAGTATATTTTTAATGTGGAGTACTCAAGCTGAGCCGATATGAAGAGGTCTTATGGTGTCCTGTCTCGTGTTGGTTGTGTTGGTATCAAAGCGCAGAGCCTCTTTGAAGTGTCTCTGGGATGAGCTGTTAGCACCGCGGCTCTCCAATGCGCTCCTCTCCGCTTCGCGCACAGACGGCGCGTCTGGAGGCGAGGAGATACCGGCCCGAGCACTCTCATTATCCTATCAATGGCACCGTTACGTGATTGACCCGATTAACCCTTTACACCCACAAATTGTTTGGCCCACGCACCATTTGCACACAAAACAGCGCCGGGCTGCCTGCCTTTTTACGCGGAGACAGACTCGGGTCCATGCAGGTGACTTCACATGTGGGATCATCCTCTGCAGATAGTTACTTATCAGTCACTTTAACTTGATCCCCAAATCCCCATTTTAGCATTGAAAGTGACACAATGGTTTAAGATGATCTGAGGCTCTGCAGAGTAGGTTATTACCATGATGTATAGGAAGTACTTTACAGCTACTCTTACTTAAGTAAAGGATCCGAGTACTTACCACCACTGCACTTAATGTCATGAAACTGGATATCAAACTTTACAATATGTCTGTAGTTTTGCCACTGTGGTTACATTTTCAACTAGCTTAAATAACATAAAGGTATTTCTGATGACATAATTCATGTATTATTATTATTATAATATATCCTTGTAGGAAATTAGTGTCCTTTTCGCCCAAAACACTCAAATATAACACATTAGTATAAGTTATAATAATTGAATACAGTCATGAAGTGATAAAGGAGTTTACAGAGGTTTGTAATGGAGGACCTTTATCAGGACATTTTACAATTTGTAACTTAAATTATGACAGTAGTCCTAAATACTAGTACTCAGTACTCTGAAATCTGTGTTTTATGTGTTAAATATGAGGTTTATATAGAGTCTTGCTTCAAGTATTTCTTTAACTTCTATAAAGGTCTGTTTCTACTTCCACAACACGACACATATCATATTTATTGTGATGAGTGATCATCGTAGGATCATTTACCTTAATCCTGATCAATAAAAAATAAATATAACCTAAAAACCTGTCACAGGTTAATCTTTTGTTATCACGTCATATCAGACAGTTTGCCTTTAATCTATGGGATCATCCTTGATTAGCCATTGCTGTTAAATTAAACCACTCACTGCTTGTTATGTTGCTTGTTAAGACTCCTTTTCAAATGGAGTTACATTACAAATGTTAAGTAATGACTGGATGACCAGTTAAGCACTCTATGAACATTGAAGTATGATTAATGACAAGAAAGATCATCATCAGGGATGTAGCTATAATGATTTTTTTATTTTCAATGAATCTCCAGAAAACTGTTTCTTTTTAAATCAGCACAAGGATTATCTTAAACCAATTCTATATTCTTCACTTTGATGAACATTGGGTGTGATTTGCCAGAATTATTTATTACATTCTCAGTCAGACTTCTCTGTTGGACCAATAGCTTAAACCAATATATATTATACACAAAGAAAGCATAAGCCCTTGATTTAGCTTTTTACAACCAACAGACATTTCTGCTTTAAAAATGACTGACATTCCCTTTAATCCATTCAGTTTTACTTATGTAAGTTTACAAGAAATGTCAGGTGACAGAAAAAACATATCTTAGACCGTTAGAGACCCAGTACAGTGATTTTTAAATATCAAACTGAAACTGCCAACGTGAGGGGGGGGGGGGTTTTATTTACAGTAAGGACTGGGTTGTTGAGGAGATGGAGACAGTTTGGGGTGAGGTGAGTCTATTATCTTTTTTGGAGGCAGGAAGGAGGGGAGGTGGCAGGGGGGGGGTCCTTCCCAGACTCACTGGAGCCTTGTTGTAACAGCCTCATTGAGACTGAATGAGACATCTTAATTACTCCAGTTGTGAAAACTAAAGGAGGGGAGGGTGGGAGGGACGGGAGGATGTGTGCTTTGATCTTGGAGCTGAGGGAGTTTGAAGCCTCCTATAAATACAGACAGGCTCTGATAAGAGGGCCAGTTAAAACTCTCAGGACAGACCAGCACACCTTCCTCTGCACCCAGGACTCAAAACCTGCTTTCACCAAACACAAGGATTTACTCTTTTCCAGGACAAAACTTCAACACTGCAGCCATGAGAGGACAGTTTTCCATCGAGTGGATGGCCCAGAGCAGCCAGTCCTCCGGCACAGAGAGCTCAGCCTCTGGACCCGCCGCCTGTGGGACTCATTCAGAGAGTCTGCCGGGCTTTTACTGCAGGCAGAAGTCAGAAAATGGACCCGAGCAGCAAGAAACCAGAAACCAGGGCCTCAATTCAATCAGTCTACAGCACCAAACCTCCCACAATAATCAAGGTATGTTCAGTCCAGCCATGAGAAGTTATGTGTTAACTTGAGTTTTCCCATGTTATGCCACTCTATAATTCTACTTCTATACATTTAAGGCAAAACATGTGTGTAATACCCCCATACAAACTGTAAGTTCAGCTTATAAACATGTAATAAGACAGTGTGATGTTAAACAGGTATAAGGATATGTTGAATGTTTATGAATGTGCCAAGTTGGTCTGCGAGGATAGCTTTTTTTTATGATATTAAAACTATTTTAACAGATTTCATATCTTATTTTTATAGAAACCAGGATTTGTATTTCTTAACAAACACATTAATAAGGATCTAAATGTGATAACAACTGCAGAAACATTTTAAATGCAGGAATTTAATTTGTAATGTTAAGTAAAAGTACACATTGATATCGTGCTATATTCTACTCCACCAATTTTCTTACAGCATCAGGTACAAATTAGGATTTTTGAACATGAAGAGTATTAGTATTAGTAGTTTTTGCTAAAATGTTATCCGAATACTTCCATCAATGGATAATTCTAACATGATTTCTTCTGTTATTTCCTCTGTGCAGTAACCGAGAAATGCTTCAGCAGCGGGACAGAGGAGGAAACATCCGGCTACGAGAGTGAAGGGGGTCGCTCCCTCTCCCCCTCGGCCCCCACTGACTGCACCTCCACCCCCCCGGTATCCCCTCCATTAGGGAGGAGACCCCGTACGGCCTTCACAGCAGAGCAGATCAGCAGCCTGGAGAGGGCCTTCAAGAGAAACGCTTACCTGGGAACACAGGACAAATCCGAGCTTTGCAAGAAGCTCAGCCTTTCTGACAAACAGGTACAAATCCTTAGATCATATTCGAGACAGCTTTTTCAGGTTCTTAGGTCATCTCCTTAGTGTTTTATTTTTTACTTTATTTAGCATTATTTGTCTGCAAATTAAAGACCTCCACATGACACACATATATAAACCAAATTAATTAATATATAAAGTATTGTAGCTAAATCATTTAACGTGTAGGGCTTTTTTGGAGACTATTGCACTTGTTTGTTATTTTATTAATTTACTGCTGTTTGTTTTATTTTATTTTATTTTGTATGATATTACCTACGTTTGCGAGTGAAAACATTGTCTAATGAGACTTCTTCTTCTTTTCTTCAGATCAGAAACTGGTTCCAGAACAGGCGGATGAAAATGAAGAGGACGGTGCAGGACGCCCTGGCTCACGCCTGCCAGGCAAACGTCGCCTCTCAGTTCATGCATTACCCCGAGCTGCAGGCCTACAGACCGGGACCCTACCCCAGATATCACTCTGCAGCAGCAGCCCAGGACGTCCAAGCCACTACCTCCTACATCCACCCACACAGCCTGCATTACAGCTCCCCTCTGCCCAGCGTCACCTCTCTGCCCCTGGACTCTTTCTACCAGTACAGCAGCCTCTCTGGAGTCATTCTGCCGTCTGCCACATCTCAGATAATGGGATCCTACTCAGCTTACCCTCAGTATTATTGACACTGAAGATGTGTAGCGACTGTAATATCTACTGGTATCTTTTGTCAGACAAAATGAGATTGTATTGATTGTATTCATCTTATCCTAATAGGATCAATGCTATAGAAATATAAGGAACACAGGCAATGATTTAAAGCTTGAACCATGATTTTAACAGGGCGTGTGCAATATTTTGATTTGTGTGTGGATATCTCTGCTTATATATATTTAAATTTGAATATATTAAGTTGTTTTATTTGATTTGTGTTTGTTTTGTCATTGTGAAATCAGATTGCTAAAATAAAATCATTATTAAAATTAACATGTCATCTCATTTGTTTAATCTGAACCTATGGAAGAAAAAATATAGTTAGGAAAAGTGGGTGTAATTTAGCTCTGTACACTTACCTCAGTACTCTAACTTAAGGGACTTGTACTTGATATAGGTGGTTAGATCTCAACTAAAAATGTTTTAACAGTTTTACATATTACCAGTATATCTCAGTATTATTTTATATCTATACATATGTATTACTAAATAAAATTGTATCTGAAATATATTATAAATAGATCTTTATAAATGACATTATAAAATGACACAAACATTTAATCTTCTATTTAATACACCAAAAGATCATCTAAAAAGGGAAACATATTGTATATTTCTTCTACTATACTATATAAATTATATAATTACATACTTTAAGTTCAAATGGTACTTTTGAACAGGCTTAAGGTTGTTTAAAACACTAATATAATTCAACCCCCATATGATGCAAATCAAACACACCTACAGTGCTACGTCACCAGCAGGTGCATGCTGGGTGTGGCTAACCTACATGCTAACTTATACAATGAGGATGCCAATGGTTGGATTCTCCGTCGGGAATTCTGCAGTAACTTTAAACTTCCGTGAGGACTTCTTGCTGTTTGTTGACTGGTCATAGCGGGACAGAGGTCGTGTGGTTATTTATCGTTTTGGAAATAAACAAGCAAAGAAGTTGGAGCTGAATAAGAGTCAGGGGGACGAGGTGTACGAGACAGGATGAGGCTCGAGCAGGTAAGTACAGTGCAACTACAACCACACACTGTTTTACACTCCTGCGTGAATTTAGTATTGTATGTAAGTCCACCTTGTATTTTATATGAATACCAGAATTAATGGTAGCATTGGTAGCATTGTTTTTGGTGGAAATTACATTTATTTTCAATTCCTGCCCTGTCATGTGCCAGATATCATTACTATACTGGACATGCACTACACACCTTTTTTTTGTTTTTTGTTCTTACTCTTTTTTTACGTAATTTCACATTCTAGCACAGTTTATTGTGCTTATACCTTGATTGTTGCCAACTACAATGCTCAACAGCTAGCTTAACGGAACTTTTAAGCTGGTATCAGTTTTGTTTACCACCAATCACGGGAGTATTGTGTATAGAAAGTGTTGAGTTATATTTCTCGCGCTACCTAACATCCATGAAGGCAACATGACAGAGAGAGGCCTGCCACTCAGGATGCCAAACTACACTTTGATAAGCCCCGCCCCCCAAGCAACATCAGGACCAAAAGTTTGAAAGCGAAAAATGAAGATCTGAAAGTGAAAAACGATCTGAAAGTGAAAAGCAATGTGAAACCTGAAAAAACAAGATTTGAAACTGAAAAAATAATTGTTTTGAATCTGAAAACGAAAAATCTGTGCTGAAAAAAAGGATTAAAATATCAAAATATGTATAAAAGTGAGATCTGAAAATAAATATATTATTCAAAAAAATTGCTGAACTGAATCAAAAATGATATTCAACCTGAAAAATTATTTCAAATACTTATTTTTATTTTGAATACATCATTGTATTTTTCAAAGTTCAGGATAAAAACTTGAACTTTCAAATAAATTGTATTTTTTGAATGATCAAAATGTATGACCCTGAAATAGCTCCATAAAATCCAACTGAGGAAATCCACCTGAATATGTACCTGATAGCCAAATAAGACAATGCTGCCATCTGTGGACAGATATAGGTAGTGTTTGTAGCCTTTATTTAACCAGGCCCCTTGAGATCAAAAGATCTCTTTTCCAAGGGTGACCTGCAGGACATTAGTTACACATGTAACATAAAAACAACAGAACAGGGATACTGTAGTATATACAGCTCTGAAAGTAACTGAATACATTTGCTGAAGTACTGAACTTAATCCTGAGGTGCTCTTCCTTTACCTAAGACTTTCCATATTATGTTACTTTATACTTCTTTTCGACAAGATTTAAAACATGGTTACTTTGCAGATACAGATTAATAATACAAAATACAATCATGAAATCAAGGAAACTTGATCACATTTTAAAGAAAACAAACTTGTATCGTCTCTGCATTGTTAAAAAGGAGTCAAGTTTTTGGCCATAAGGAATAATTTCCTTTAGAAATAACAAATGTTTTTCTTCAGGTGGTTTTATTCTCTGCACCATAAAAGAGACATAGAAAGTAGCGTTTGTATGCTATTTTTTCTTCTTGATATATTATAGATTTACAGAAATGTTGGTAAATTCATAAGCTGTCTATAAATAGTTCAAATATTTGCAAAATTAAAATGATCTACACATTAATGGATACATAATTTAAGGGTGTATAAGTCCGAAATGGGACTTTCTGCATAATAATAGCTTTTGGTACTTTTATTTGATGCCAATGCTTTTATTTATATATTATTATTGTTTTAATGCAGGACTTTTACTTCAACAACTATTTCTGAACTGTGGGATTTCTACTTTTATTTTAGTAAAATATTTGACTTGCTTCTAAAATATGATGCATTATTATATATTTAACTACCCAACTGCATATTAATTACTTTGAATGAGTTCCGCCTCCCTATGAGAGATTCACTAAACATTCACACATGAGTATTAATGACAAAGTAATTTATAATGTAATCATAAACCACCAGAAATCGAAGTAGTTGAGTAATTGAAAATTTATTTGGCAGATTACATTTATTATGTTATTTAACACAAGTGAAATTTTTATGTGAGACCTTTTCATGAAATGGAGCATTTAACACTGTAGGATTAATACTTTTACTAAGTATATTCTTCCACCACTGGCAAGAATAGACAATCACAGAATAGTTTATTAGAAATCGGCAAATTATATCTACTTGGAGTAGGTAGGAAAACTAGGCAGGAAAACAAAGTATGTCGACACATATTTTTCATCATATTTTGTCATAACAACAAAGACATTTCACAACCAGATGGAGAGTGGATAAAAAAAAAAACAGAACGCAAACGGAACCTCAATCTGAGCCAATGGCTAATACTGGATTTGACATGTGGGCGTGACGGACAAAATCAACGAACCAATGGGAGAGCCGTTAACGCGGAAGTGGCGGATCGTTGGGCCAATTGGAACGCTCCCTGACGTGCACCGACAATGAGCGTGAAGGCTGAGCGCAACCCAGAAAGCAGCTACGCAGGACGGAGGGGCAGAAGCCGAATGGTGGAGCTGAAGATGGCGGATGGCGACAGCGGGAGTGAGCGCGGTGGTAGTAGCGGGGGAGGAGGCGGTGGTGGAGGAGGAGGCGGCGGCGGTGGCGGTACCGGTGCGGGTGCGGGTGGAAGCGGCTTCCAGCACTTCCAGAGGGACCAGGAGACCCAGGAACTAGCGTCCAAGCGCCTGGACATCCAGAACAAGCGCTTCTATCTGGACGTCAAGCAAAACAGCAAGGGCAGGTTCATCAAAATCGCCGAGGTAGGGGCCGGGGGCTCCAAGAGTCGCTTGACCCTCTCCCTGTCGGTGGCGGCGGAGTTCCGCGACTACCTCGGGGATTTCATCGAGCACTACGCCCAGCTTGGGCCTAGCAGTCCGGAGCAGATCGCCCAGGCCACTTCTGGGGAGGACGGCGGGCCCAGGCGAGCTCTGAAGAGCGAGTTTCTCGTCCGGGAAAACCGCAAGTACTACCTGGACTTGAAGGAGAACCAGCGGGGGAGGTTCCTGCGGATCCGGCAGACCGTAAATCGTGGCCCTGGCTATGGAGTCGGGGGGCCTTCGGGCGGCATGCTGTCCGGCCAGACCATAGCCCTTCCTGCCCAGGGGCTAATAGAGTTTAGAGACGCCCTTGCTAAGCTCATAGATGATTACGGCGGAGACGACGAGGAGCTGGCCGGGAGCATGGCCGCCGGGGGCTACAGCGAGCTCCCCGAAGGCACCTCCATCATGGTGGACTCCAAGCGGTTCTTTTTCGACGTCGGGTCTAACAAATACGGAGTGTTCCTGCGTGTGAGCGAGGTGAAGCCAAGCTACAGGAACTCTATCACCATCCCGTTCAAAGCCTGGAGCAAATTTGGAGGAGCTTTCAGCAAATACGCCGAGGAGATGAAGGAGATCCAGGAGAGGCAGAAGGATAAAACGTACGAGAGGAGAGACGAGTCCGAGGGAGACGACGTGGACGACGACTGATACAATTTAAAAATAAAACAGCTGTTATTCAAGTAACATGACAGATCTGCAATTAAAGGGGGGGGGGGGGGTATTTTGCATAAAAGAGAAAAAGCAGAAATGACAAAGTGCATGACAAATCGTGCTGTAATAGCCTACTAAAGTTTTGTGGCGTAAAAAAAAAGTACATGTGCAGGGAATTATTCGTGTATTATCCTAAGGGTTGGAGGGCTGAGGGTTGGAGTGATTAAGTGAATCTGAAAGTGAAAAAAAACAAGTGGACTAAATGTGTAAATGAGATAGTCTCATTGTTAAAAAAAAAAAAAGAGTGCTTTATTGTAATAAAGTGGAAAAAGAGAACCTACTAAAACCAGCAAATTGGTTTTTATAACTAGAAATGAAGCCAATGAATGCTTTCCTATTTGCAACATAGTTTATATTTAAAGAGTGAGGAGTCAACCTGTTTAAGATGTTTTCCTTGCTCCAATTTAAGGGGGGAGAACTAGCATCCATTGTATTCCTGTTCCAGTCCAGGGCAGATTGTGGGATTTTTGCAAGTCAGTCAGATGAACCTGAGAGGGATGTAT